CAAGAAAACAAGAATTTAAATATTTATGTCAAAATTATGGTTTAAAATATAAATATTTTATATTAGATGTAAAACATAGATGGAATTCTACCTATGCTATATTAGAAAGTTATATTTATCATAAATAAATTCTTATTGATTTTTATAATGCAAAAATGGCTAATGATATTATATTTGAGGAAGATTGGGAGATGTCAATTTGTATAAGAGATTTTTTAAAACACTTTTATGATGAAACTAATGAATTATCAGGTATTTATTATTCAACTAGTTGTAATTTACCTTATCAATTAATGATGATTAGTGATTGTTTTGCAAAATATAGAAATAATCCACAATTTAAATGTATTGTTGAAATAATGAAAAATAAGTTTAAAAATATTGGGAGAACATTTCTCCCCTTTATTGTTTAGCTACAATATTAGATCCTAGGATTAGGAAAGATGGTTTAGATATTTTACTTGAAACATGTTGTGAAAATATGAATATTGAAATTGGAAATAAAAAAGAAGAAATTAATAATTTGTTATTTGAAATGTAGTTTATATGAATCTGAAGCAGTCGTAAATATTCCTACAACTTGTACATCTTCTACTTCAAATCTTGAACCCAATAGTAGAAGAGAAAAACTTTTTTATTTAATAAGTAGAAGGCAGAAATCTACTACTTCTACAACAAGTTCATTTACTGAACTTAATTTTTATTTACAAACAAATTTTTCTAGTTTAGGTGAGGGAACAAATAATTTTGATATTTTAGCCTTGGTGGAGTGAACATTCAAAAGATAATCCAATTCTCGCCACTATGGCACATGATCTACTAACCCCTCCGGTATTTTCAGTTCCATCAGAGTCTTGTTTTAGTGTAAGTACCAGGGTGTTGGATGACAAGAGAAGCTACATGAACGATGAAAGTATAGAGATGTACATATGCTTTAAGGATTGGCTAGATGCAGAAGATAGACTGCAAGACAAAGGAGGGCATGATACTACACCGGATATTTCACCTGAAGCAGATGATGAAAGTCATGATTCATGAAGTTGACTAGTTGTATAGAATTTTTTATTTTTATCAAATTATTGTATTTTTTAAATTTTATTTAATTTATTCGCTATTTTCTTTAACAATGTAGTTTTGTATTTTCAATTTTGTAACTATGTTGTATTTTTATATTTTATTAATTTATTCCATTTTCATATTTCATTGATCCAAGTATCCAATGATCCAATCATTGTATTTGTAATTTGTATCATTCAAATTTAAATGAAATAAAATTCCTATTTTCATCGAGGAGGGCAACACAACCCGTGACGGCCCGCGGGCTAGCACGACATGATCCGCACTTTGTGCAGAGTACCCGCGAGCCGCCCGTGGGTTGTGCCTTATCGGCCCGGCACGACCCACTTTACACCTCTACTTTCACCACAAACCATTATGAAATTTTACTTTTAGGTTTTTCTCATATAGGTCAAGATATGGAACGAGCTACAACAACATTTCAAGGCACAAAGCAACATGTACCTATATAGTATTGTCATGTTATATGCATATTTGCTTGTGTTATGAGGACCTCATGTAAAAGTTTAAGCTTTAGGTTAAACAATTCCTTGATAGCTTGCAATGGACAAGCTAAGTACTCCTCTTGGTAGGGTTGCAGAATCAAGCTCTAAGCGAATAGTTTGGGCTCGAATTTGATTAAGCTTAGTTTAAGTTTGATTCTAATTGAATTTGAATCTTAAGGCAAGCTCGATTAGTTATTTGAACTTGAGCTCAACTAATTAAATGTTCACCTCAAAAACTTGTGAGCCTGACTCAAAGAACACATACACACACACATATATAGTAAATAATGTGTTGTCAAAATGATAATGATGATAATAGTAAATAATGTGTTTTCAAAATAATGATAATAATATTAAGCTCGATTTAACTGTGCATGTACTTTGCATGTAACAATTTTTTATGATGATGATGATGATAATAGTAAATAACATATTTTCAGAATGATGATGATGATATTAGTAAATAATGTGTTTTCAAAATTTTATAATTTCTTTTATATTTCTATGGATATGAGAACTATTTTTATTTGTCACACTTATTTTTTTTTAATATAATGAATATACGATATTAGAGATGTGACCAAATGTTTTTAGAATTTTTTTTTTTTGTATTTTATACTTTTGCATGTTGTCATCTTTTTTTTTATTTTTATTATTATTTAATTATGATATCAAAAATTTTTAATAAGAGGAAATTGAATGAGGAGAAATGTAGTATTTCAAATTACATTTGGTGCCCTCACTATTATAAAGGGATCAAATTCAAAAATAGGGGTATTCTAGTCAAGAATAAGATTTAATGAATGTTAACGAGAATCAGTACCTCAAATACAAGACATAATGAGAAGGATTTAAATGAAGAGAAAAATGGTTGTATATTTGTATATTTTGTTTTTACTTTATTTAAATTAGTATATTTTATTTTTTAATAATTTATTAATTAAAAAAAAAACAAGTCGGATCGACTTAGATCCGAAGATCTGACTTACCGATAGGATTTAAATTCAATTTGAGTCCTATCAGATTTAATCGGATCTTCGGATCGGATCCGACTTGAACAATGTCTGATCAAATTTGAATATACCCTGATTATCCGATTCAATCCGTTTGCATCCCTATCACCATCCTTCAATAAAGCAAAACAGAAATTAAGACCCAATTTGAAAAGAATACATACAAAAAAAAAAAAAAAAACAAGGGATAACTACACTGTGCTCCACCTCAAAATTCTGAAATTCTACTTCAAAATTTTAAACACCTCCACCTTAACACTAATACCTGTCCGTGTATTGGCATCAACTCCGAGCTGGCACCTACCCCAACTGTACTGTGGAATTAAGATTTATGAGGTGAATTGAATAGTAAAAACCCAAAAAACAAATATGTACAATATAAATACATACAAAATACAAAGTTTTACCCTAGATATTTATACCATATACTCCTTCCAGCAAACTGAGCCTAAGGATAAAAAAAGGAAATTAGAGATTTTTTTTTTTTGATAAAAACTGAGAGGGGCTACACAAGAAGGGGGTAGGGTGTCCCCACAAATCAGACACAAATGCAAGCTAAATTCTTACAATATCCTGTTGAGAAGAAAAAGCATTATTGGCGAGTCAATCTGCCAATTGATTAGCCTCCCGATACACGTGATTATAGCCTATTGATCACAAAGCAGTTTTTCATTGAATAGAAAATAAGGAAGAATAGTGTCAACTACCTGAGAGGATTTTTGGAAACGTAACAATATCAATTCAATGCGACTTTTAGTTTGGTTTCTGGTCAGTTTTGTTGGTTTAAACTTTATTTGAAACTGAATTTACTTTGGTTAGAATAACATAGAAGTTTGGATTAAATCTTAAGCAAATATCAAACTTAGGAGAATAACATAAAAGCAATGATATCACCATCTAATATATGGACCACCCAACGAAAAAAAAAATAAATAAAAATCTGATATATGTACTAGAACTGTGGGTCCACTCCTTTCCATTAATTGCTTAGAAGTGCCAACATGGGCTTCACTGAGGAGGGGACCCTTGACACCCCTTTCACTCTCTTCCCTTTCAGTACCAACTTTCAGCCTTTCTGAAAAGAACAGATCAGTAGTCGGTGACACTCAAAAGTAGCAGCTCACTCCAAAAGTAGTGGATTCCATGGCTTCAAGATCCCGATAATAAGAAATCAGAATTGCTTCTCCTTTATCATTCATTATCAAGACTTCGAAGTGTATTGCTTGAACATAATTGAGTTATTGGGACTCAATTCTGTTGTCCTTGAGCTTCTTCTGAGCTCTGAGAGAGAGAGAGAGAGAGTCCGTGGAGATGGCTGGTGGGTCTTTTGCTCCAGCCGGAGTGACTAAGGAGAGAGCTCAACAGTACCAGGGAAGGGTAACCTCGTTTGTGGTCGTTGCTTGCATTATTGCTGCCATTGGTGGTTCCATATTCGGCTACGATATCGGAATTTCAGGTATCTTTTATCTTTTCATTGCTGGGTATTCTAAATCAATGTTGGAAGTTACAAATTTCCATTTCCGATGATGATTTTGAGCTGCTGCTCAATCAAAGTCAAAGCAAATGAAACTTTATGGTTAATCACAGAAATAAATTACATGAAATCAGAATATTCATCAAGCTTCTTTGTGGGCAAAAGAATATCCAAGTTAATATTCTCAGAACAAAAAGCTTGAATTGCAATTTTTTCCCATCAACTATTCCAAGAGAAAACGAAAAGAAAGGAAATTTATGATATGATCTGCTTACCTTGTTATCTTGAAAATTAACAGGTGGAGTCACATCCATGGATGACTTCCTCCATAAATTCTTCCCAGCCATCCTCTACAGGAAGAGACACACAAAAGAGAGCAACTACTGCAAATATAACAACCACGGCCTCGCTGCATTTACATCTTCTCTTTATCTTGCTGGTCTGGTTGCATCTCTTGCTGCTTCTCCTGTGACCAGGAAGTTCGGACGCCGTTTAAGTATAATTGTTGGTGGAATTAGCTTCCTCATTGGAGCCACCCTGAATGCTGCTGCAGCAAACCTCACAATGCTGCTATTTGGTCGAATCATGCTCGGTGTTGGCATTGGCTTTGGAAATCAGGTACACATAGTTTTGCTCAAAATTTATCTCCTGAATGGGTACCACCACCATTAAAAGACAACTATTCTTGTGTTTCCACTTGTATTCTTTATTTTCTGCACTTTTGGGGAACATACAAGGTGTCCGAATCTCACCATTTTACTGGCCAGGAAATTTTCATAATCTGAATGATTCTACATACCCAACTAGCTTTGTTGATTCATTATCTTGTTAGATGTTATGTTGATGCATGGAATTAAATTAAAAGATAATGGAAATTCCTGTTTTATCAAGAATACAATACTTTTCTCTGGAATTATAGAAGAAAGGACTCATGTTCAAGAATTAACCTTATCTTCCTTGGTTTCTTGAAGGCAGTTCCACTGTATTTGTCAGAGATGGCTCCAGCCCATCTCCGAGGAGGGCTTAACATGATGTTCCAGTTGGCAACAACTCTTGGAATCTTCACAGCAAACATGATCAACTATGGAACAGAGAAGATCAGACCATGGGGATGGAGGCTCTCCCTGGGCCTAGCTGCAGTCCCTGCACTACTGATGACTGTTGGAGGAGTCCTTCTTCCAGAGACACCCAACAGCCTAATTGAACGTGGGTTGGAAATCAAAGGAAGAGAAGTTCTGGAGAAGGTCAGAGGGACTTGTAATGTTACAGCAGAGTTCCAAGACATGATTGATGCAAGCGAGTTGGCAAACTCAATCAAACATCCCTTTAGAAACATTCTGGAGAAGAGGAACAGACCACAATTGGTGATGGCAATCTTCATGCCAACCTTCCAGATTCTAACAGGCATAAATTCAATTCTCTTTTATGCCCCAGTCCTGTTCCAGAGTATGGGGTTTGGTGGGAATGCTTCTCTGTATTCCTCAGTTGTGACTGGAGCAGTTCTTGCTTTATCCACACTTATTTCTATTGCAACTGTTGATAGATGGGGTCGGAGAGTTCTACTAATCAGTGGTGGGATACAAATGGTTGTATGCCAGGTGAATGGTTCTACAAAAACTCTTTCATTCCATCTAAATTAGTAGCTTGCTAGGCTGCTAGAACTTCACTTCTTCAGGCACTGGCATGCATTGTCTTTGGAAAATTTGCCTCTCAAGCGGAAGTCTACCAAATGGTATCCAATTGTCCAATTTGATCCGTGTACAATTAGATCAAATATGGATTCCAGCCATATCCAATCCAATAAAATCCAGTCCAATTTCATTTAAATATATATTCTAATATATATTTATAATTTATATTGTATCTATCAGTAAAATGGTTTGAATGTTGTAACTTCACTAATTTGTAATAGATTCAAGTTTCATACAAGTAATTTTTAGTTCATTTTTTCATGAATTACAATATTAAAATCAGTTTTAGTTCATTTTATTACTAACATATAATAATTTGATCATCTTTAGTTTAATTTACTTAATACTATTCAATATCCAATTACAATCTGAATCTACTATAAATCCAATGGGTAAGATCGAATTCAAATTCGAATATAAACAAACCAAATTTGCATCTACCTATATCACTGATTCATACATTAGATGGCATCCCTGGGTAAAAAAAAAAATCACTGAATTCATACATTAGATGGCATAATGGATTATTTGTGTTTGTGTAATAATGGTCTCTATCTGATTGTCATTTTTTGTTTTCCTTCTAACAGATAACAGTTTCCATAATTTTGGGCCTCAAATTCAAGGACATGAATGATCTCTCAAAGGGCTACTCAATATTGGTGGTGGTTGTGATCTGCCTCTTTGTTATGGCTTTTGGATGGTCATGGGGCCCACTTGGTTGGACTGTGCCAAGCGAGATATTCCCTTTAGAAACCCGATCAACAGGACAGAGCATCACTGTAGCTGTCAACCTTTTCTTCACTTTCATAATTGCCCAGTCTTTCCTTTTCCTCCTTTGTTCTTTCAAGTTTGGAATCTTTCTCTTCTTTGCTGGATGGATTACCATCATGACCATCTTTGTCTATGCTTTTCTGCCTGAGACAAAAGGTATCCCTATTGAAGAGATGACACTGCTGTGGAGAAAGCATTGGTTCTGGAAGAGAATAATGCCTGAAGAGGATGAGAGCAGTAGGCAAACCAATTTAACTGACATGGGAAAATCAGCAGCTGTTGTTTCAGAGCCAGATTGTTGACTAAAACAGTAAGCTTCAAGAAGATGATGAAGGATTTGAAACTTGTGAATAGAATTTAAGTAAGCTGAATTTTTTCAAATGGGGTTTTGATGAAACATGCAAGAACACTCACCCGAAGATCAGAAGTTCATGGGTTACTTTAGGCTCTAGTAGAGGATCCATGGTTTGTCCTACTTTGGATTGAGTGATGCAATACTATGTAAAAATCACATGTTGGAGGATTTGAGTTGTTGCTAAGAAAAACAAATTGATAAATATTAAGAATAATTGGGTGAGATCTCTTTGTTTGAAACTGTATTGAAAAGCATGGGAACACAAATGAGAAGATAGCAAATTCTTATTCACTTTTCACATTAAATTCACACAACACAAACAAAATTGCACTAGTACAAATGCAGGGAAGTAATGTATTATTTATGTAACAATGTTCTATTAATGCATAGTTTTGAGCCTCAAATTCAAGGACATGAATTATCTCTCTAAGGGCTACTCAAAATTGCTGGTGGCTGTGATCTGCCTCTGTTATGGCTTTTGGATGGTCATGGAGATCACTTGGTTGAACTGTGCTGAGCGAGATAATGAAGGATTTGAAATTTGTAGAAAGAATTTAAATAAACTGGATTATCAAATGGGTTTTTGATGCCAGCCCTATTTTTTGGTAGCCCAGTTAACATGTAAGACTACAACTTCAGATCAGAATTCAGAAGTTTATTAGTTTGTCTCAATAGTCAAGGTTCAAGAAATGTCCAAATACAAATACAAATATGTAGAGCCAGAGTCAAAGGTGAGATCTCATTGTTTGAAATTGCATTAGGACAAAATGCAAGGGGAGAACAAACGAGAAGAGAGAAAATGCAAGCTTTCACACAAAGAAAATTGCACTTAGAAAACTAATGTTTCTGAATTCCTAAAATTAGGTGTAAAAGCTTGTATTTGGAATTGGTAGGGGGTGCGCCAGGCCCGTGCAGTAGTGCAACGCATGGGCGACGCTTGAAGGCCCCAATAGCAAGCTATTGTGGTGGGCCTTCCCCCAAGAAAAATTAATTTAATATCATGTGGGCAATGGCCCACGTATCAGATATTAAACTGATAAGAACAGATACTACACTTGATCTTAGCCAAAAGGCCGAGAAAGGTATACTTTGTTTTGCCTCTCAATTTGGGTTTTATAGTTCAGCTCTAATTGCCCCCTTTCTCTTCTTTCCCATATGGGATTAGAAAATGAGGCGGTTAGCCAATGTTCTAATTCTAAAGCAGATAGGAGATGAGGCTATGCTCAGACAAATCAGTTTCTGTCCCTGAGTGCCCGCCCCTTTATCATTTTATCATTGTACAAAGAAAAGAAAGGAGGCTACTGTTAAAGCTGAAGGTGATACAATTAACAAATTAGGAAACCCATTTGGCTTTTCCACCCGAGCTACATAGTGTTAGACCATGGATCCATGCAAATATTGTATCTCTTATTAGTTAACTCAACTAACAAATCAGTAACTACTGCTGTTGCAAGTAAATGTTCAGGCTTTGGTCCTTTGAAGCAAAAAGAATGAAAAGTCTCTTTTCATAGAAAAACACTTACCACAAAAGTTATCAGCCACTAGGTTCTAGGCGTGGCATCTTTATAGACCCCATCACAGAGGCTTCTTAGGTCTAAACCTAAAATAATCAATCAATAATATTTTTCTTTTTTATTTCCTCCTCTCAAGAATATTTTTATCATATTTCCAATCTCATAACTTCAAACTTGAGTATCTATCTGTTTATCCCTACACCAAACACTAGTTTTCTTGATGTTTTTGTCAATACTCCAAGCAAGTAATCCAGTGCAAAATGTGGCATGGCAATATATCAAATTAAATCACCCATGGTGTGCCCATATCAAATTAAATCAACCATGATGTGTCAAATTGTCAACAAATTAAATCGACTTGTGGTGGTATGCCCACTGCCTACTGCCCAACGGTGTAGACAATATAAACTCGATTGCCAAGGAGAGAATGGTTTGAAGAAAAAAAAGCAAATAAAGGTTTGGCATTTACAAACCATTATAAACATGAATTGTTTGGGTTGGACCACGTCTGAATCAAAACTGATGAAGGGAAATTTGGCCCGACCTCGCATTCGCCCGACGCGTGGCAAAGGCAAGCAGCTCGGGACAGTAGAGCACCCAAAGCGAACATCGGAAGCAAGTCAAAACTCGCTACCGAACCCCAACTCCAGATCGCTGTGTTTAGTCCGAGCTCCTTGTTAA